ACATTATTTAGAACAAACTAAGCAATTTAAAAGTAATGTACGCACTGTTTAATAATATTATCGTTATTTACAGCATGAGTATTGTAACCATTAGTTTTATTTATTTATTTTTTTAAATAGGAGGCATGAAAAATGTGAAATGCCCTCACCGGCACTCGAAACTGGACCTCTAGCATACGCGCTGAGTGTGCTACTGTTACACCACAAAGGCATGCTGGAAAAAGGGAGAAAATATTTTATATACTCCACCTTTTAATGGGCTACTGGGGATTAGGTGACCCAGTCACCAAATCATGGTGGTGACAAAGTATTGTCCACCAGCTTTTAGTTCGAGCGCCATTTGTAGCGTCATTAGGGTTTTTGAAGCAGGAGACATGAAAATTTAGCAATACCCTCACCTGGACTAGAACATGGACCTCTCGAATACGCACCGAATGTACTACCGGTTACACCACGAAGGCATGTTGGAAGGAGGGAAAAATACCATATAATATAATCGGGTGTGCTGCGTTAACCATGAGGCCGATTATTATCGGCCAGGAGGGTTGCAGAATACTCGTAAACTAACCGTATAATATAATTAACGGAAGAGTTTTCTAACGCCATGTATTATGCACTTTTGCTGCAGAATTTTACTCATAGCAACAACTTAATACAGCTTATTTACTTATTTTTGCCATATTTTTACATTAAGTAACATAACATGCAAGAAGATTTTTTATTACCCTCAATCTAAAGAGCGTAAAGTCATTAATCTTTCCGAAGAACGTAATGTTAAACATGTATAAGAAACATCACAGTTCGTCAAAACTTCACACTTAGGAGGAAACGAAGTGCAGCAAAAATATACACTCTCATCATTAAAAATAATTTAAAACATCATTTATTTTACAACGCAGGAGAAAGATGCTAATGTCTAGAGAAAAAGAATTGACTCTCTCAACAAAGAATAATTTTCAATAGAACGCGACAGTTCGATGAGACATGAACAGAAAGGATTAGCGATAAGCTATTCCCGCGTTCGGCCATCCGTAACCGTAACGGTTAACGATACTATGTTCAAGTCCCAATAAGAGGTCAGAGACAAACATTAACAAAAAAAGTTATAAAAAATACAGAGAGAAGATGCGACTTTTTTTTCCTCCTGTCGTATTTCATTTAATTTATCTCGCGGTCTTCTCGTAACATTTTCTTCACGACCGCAAGGAACTACGATCAAAACCTAAAAAAGTTTCAAAAAGTCCCAGGTCACAGAAAAAAAAAAAAAAAATACCGTCGTAGATAATATTGACATTTAAACGCTCTGATTCTCCATTTCGAATGTTTTCATCCAATGGGTATCAGCGTAACTTGGATGAGAACACTTAAAATAAAATTCGCGAAAAGAATGGCTTATGAGTAATCATTCTGATGGCGAGAACAACGATCATCTGAAGCAGCAAATGGAATCATGCCGAACGCAAACAGAATATGAATGTAGTTCCTTAAAATAGACTTGTGTGGAATATGGCAAAAGGATATAATATAAGGAATATAAGAAGTGTGGAATATGGCAAATAAATGATTTGGATTCAGATGTATTCCAAGCCAAAATTTTCACACATATTTTGATAACAATGGAAACTTCAAAACTAAGTTTATATATTTTCTTCACTTAAGCCTGCTCTGCAAAACCCATAACTTCTACAGAATCATTCCTTGCATAATAAAATGCATTACTGATGGAGCATTATTGATTTTACATAATAAAAATATCACATGATTCCTCTATTTGATTTAATGGTTAGTGAACTACCTATCTGAAATCCCCCTTCCAAATTTAATGCTAATATTTCGCATCCGTTTGAAGTTTTGATAAACAATCATTGATCTTATATTCAAAAAATATAAAATTCCTGCGCTTTTATCACAAAATATGTTTTCCTCTGTTAATTTATTATCATTTAAAAATAGAGACTTTTTGCCTCAGAACATTTTAAGGCATTCAAATGTATCGATGCATGCCGATAGCATTTTTTGGCATTTATGATATTTTGATATTTTTTAGGAACTTTTTGAATTTCGAAGCAGCATTAATGGATACATAGAGATACTGGAAACAATAACATAAAAATTATTATTAAGATGATCCACTTTATTATTAAGAGTAGCAAAATATATATTATATTTCTGAAATATTTGATAATTTATTTTAAGTGGAAAACCTCAACTCATTTTGAAAGAAGAAGGAAGTTATACCCTTTTTTCTGATATATAATCTCTAAATTGAAAATTCTTGCTTAATCTCTTGAGATAGTTCGAACAGTCCAAAAGAAAAAGGGAAGCCTGAAAAGACAATCGGACATTCGGACTAGGAAACATTAAAAATTAATTGTGCCTTCTCCGGAATTCGGACCCCGGATCTTCCACTTTCCAGTGAATTGTGGGCTACAACAGCTAACAGGGGAGAAGGCGATAACTCCTTACATTTCTCTCTCTTAGCAGTGGGATTCGGACCCCAGATCTTCTACTTTCAAGTGAATTGTCGGCTACAACAGCTAACAGGGGAGAAGGCGATGATTCCTTACATTTCTGTCACTTAGCAGCGGGATTCGGACCCCAGACTTTCCACTTTCCACTACAACATCACACAAGGGAAGAGATGATAATTCCTTACATTTCTTTCCCTTTAAGGGCATCTAAAGACAGGCACGAGAAGAATTAGGCCAAATCCAAGCAATGGTGAATCATTCTCTTCCATAAATTAGTTTGGATGCCACTAAAGAGACCATTTAAAATGGTGGACAGGATTCGAGTCACTGATCTTTCATTTGTCAGCTGTAGGTGCTGCTCTCTTACACCTAAAAAGCACATGATAATTCTTTAAAAATTTCAGGGAAAATCGGTTCCAGAGTTTTATATGGAAACATTAGTGGTAGCCTTTTATATGCAAAGTATTTTTATTACACGTTAACTTTTTATACGAGTTTTCGGGATCTAAAACACTATATAAAACCAGAATTAGGTGCATTGCAAATGCTGAATTACTTATACGAAGTAAGAATGTTGATGTAACATTAATGGATATTGAACATTAAAACTTATTTGGCATAAATAATCAGCGAAGCACAAAAGAAACCTGCGCAGCTAATGGTAGGCGATTAAAGACAATGAAATGGTGATTTAACGAAAGATCACATGAAAGGAAAATTACCTCTACTACTAATGTAAGTTACTTTCTTTTTCATTGTTCTAAAGAAACACGGTGTACGTCTTAAATTCTAATGCACAATATCTTAAAAAAAAAGCAAAACTATATGGAATACAATAATCGTAATGGTTACGTGGCATTAGCGCATCGATGATAAAAATGGTGGGTACTGTTCTGTTATCAGGACCAGATTCAGAAATGTATGTATGCAGATAGCTATGGATGTATGTGTTCATGCATACAAATATATATGTAGGTACGTACGTATATGTATATATACACACACGTATACACACATACATACATATACACATGCATACATACATTTTTGAATCTGGTCCCAATAACAGAAGACAACCAAACAGTGTTATAACGGCACAATAACAAATAAAGTATTTCGTAAGGTAGTGGTTAGCAATAATTTCTTTTACTACGTTTAAATTCTTCTCATTTTCCGTAAAACGGAAGCAAATTTAGTAATGCAATATTGCATGGGATTCTGCGACATGGACATTCGGTTAATATTCTATACTCATTGCAACCCTTCCAATAAGTGCGGTAGTTCTACATTGCTTTCACTCCACATACGAGTAGCTTGATTTCAAATCCCGAGTAGTGCTTGGACATTTATTAAAAGGATCTTTGCAGAATGGAATTAGAAATCCTTCGGTATGAAGTTCTTATGAGAGAATGCCAGCAAAAGGAGGATATAGGAGATGTTTGGATTCCACGCTTAAGTGTTTTTAATCAACAGTGTGATGGAATTGGGCAAAGTCATATTATCATTATTAGTTTATTTCAGCAAACAAGTATAGATACGACCACCTGTAGATATACATGAGTTTTAGTAATGTGACTAGAAATAAGCAAAAACAGTAACTTACTATGAATATCTTCGTGTTGGAGCTCCCCCCATTTTACTGCGTTTTATGGATGAACATGACGAAAATAAAATATATGTAGCTCGTTCTGGAAGAACACTTTAAATACGCACTGCTTCTGAAATACACATACACTATTGAATGAAAGTGAAATGATAAAAACCATATATTTCAATTATTAATTCACGTTAATCATTTCAGAAAACGTGGAATTAACTATGCTGTAAGCGAAACTGTTGTTAAAAACATATACTATAAAAGAAACTGAATAACAATCTGTATAATATGGACCATTCATATGTTTTGAAAAATGTGACAAACGTTACGGAACGCATGTAAATACTGGGACGGTTTTGTTGCGATTAGTGGAAACAATATTTGCTTTAATAATTTTGTAGTAAATGATGTGTAGTGCCGGTGCGACGAAGTTATGAAACTTCGTCGATGAAATGACCGATGTTGAAAACCAGGTACTGTGTCCGGATGGCTGTGAATCAAGGTTCAGAACTTGCAATGAAAAATTTAACAGACATTCATAATGCTTGAAGTGCATGGTCATCATTTGATAGGCTAAAGTGAATTTTATCATGAAGAGATACAGAGTTTCATATTTGGAGAACCTGTCTGCAACAATATTCAGTGCATCAGACAGCTTCACAAAAGTGGAAACCTAACTGAAAATTGAATCCAAAGTTTTAGTAGATTTTTTTTCCAGGAAGAAAACATAACATAGAAAGCATGTAGAAAAACGTCATTTGAAGCTTTCATGTGCATTTAGCAAAAATTAATGAGCTTTCTTTTTAATGTGATCCCTACAGCAATGTTGAAGAGATAACGATCTTAATGTTACTTAAACTTTTTTAATCAGTTGGCTTAAATATGGTTAAAAAATTACAATTAATTATGCATTGAAACACGTAAAAACTTACCTTGTTTTACAGAAACATATTTTCCGTTAAAGGCAACAAAAGCGGCTTGTGGAACAGAATCCTCCAGGAAAAACAATTCATCTTTGGTGACAGTTTGAGATCTTGTCTTAAGGACAGCGCGGCTGCCTAAAGGAGCTATATATCGACCTACAGAGTCTCTCAGGGCTAGATATCCTGCATGGAACTCCAGCGTGAATAAGGTTTCAGGAACCAGAGTGTCAGAGAGCCTGCCATCGTGACGAAGGTACTTATCATTGCAGGTATGAATGGCATAACGTCCATCATGGAACTCAAGAGTGAAAAGAGTATCTTCTCCCCAAGGAGTGTTAGCGTCCACGTGGATTTCTTCATGGTCGGTAGAAAGACGTGCATAGCGCCTGCGACCCACACTTCGGATGTTCACCTGAGGTCGAGCTGCCAAGTGGACAGTCCATAGTTCAGAAGGGCCAGGAACCTAATGGATTAATAATGAAAGTAAATGATTGTGTTAAGGATATTTTTACTGTATGTAAGTTACCTTGAGATTGGAAAAACATTTAAAAAGGACTAAATATTAAAATAGCGCAATTATTTTGCTAGCATTATTTTGCAAAAATGATGTTTTACAATAATAAATTTGTAGTTGCATTTATGTAGGATTACATGAAAAAGGTGATTAAAATGAGGCTGGTGTAAATATGAGACATTGTCTAATTCAATATAAATGGCATAATATACACTGCTGAATAGTGAAATTACGCAAAGAAGAAAAGTTGTAAGGTTATGCAAATTATAAGTACTATAGTTGTTGCTAAGAAGTAAAAATGATTAAAATTTTAAACACCTAGCCCCAGTACGTGACAGTACATGTGCGAAGGGATTAAATGATATAATTTTTCACTCCAGCAGATCGCTGAGCATTTAGCCGAAATGGGGATAGTAAGGCGTGCATCAAGTTTTGTTTATATTTTATCGTAATTTAAAAGCAAAATTAGAATATTATTTCAAAAAATACTTGGAATGAAAGTGACACTGGTGAAACATTGTTCAAGAAACTAGAAATACTATTTTTAAACTACATATCAGGCTCTGTAAATTTACAACACTAGAGGTTTTTTACTTATAACACGCTCTTTTAGGTAGTAAGATGGTTATCATTACGCTAAAGGACACAAGCTCGAATCTATGACAAGACATTGAAGTTTGTGACTGTATTTCATTGGAATATAGGTAATCCAAACCTGCCTATTCTAAACTATTTTCTAGTGGCTGATGTTAAGGAAGAAGTAAGAGATGGGCATCCTTTGAGATGGGAAGGTACAAGAGCCCAAAAATTTAAGAATACGAGAGTCTTGGATTTCGTCCTCCATGGTGCATCATAATTAATTTCTAAGCTCACTTCTATTGTTTTCAACAGATTTTAAACTTGTATAAGATTGTATTCAACTGATATAAATTTCTGTTTGATTTAAAAAATCCAATTTTAATTATTTCTTAAAATGGTAGAGTTCCTAATAGTGACAAATTAAGTCCTTTAATCTAAAAACCCGTCATCTATATCAGTCAATCAACGCCTTTTTTCCTTCCCTTTTCTTTATTTAAGACAATTTTTGAAAAGTTGCCGGAATTTGCTAAATTACATTAGAAATTCCAAAGCATTTACTTTAGTTGATTAATAAAGGCAAATCACGCAATACTTCATTTGGAAGATTATTATTCGATCTATCGGATGGTGCGAGCATAGAAATTCTACAATGATTAGTCGGATCATTAAGAAAGTATATGAAAGAAAATTTAATATTAAATTAAAAATATTTACATCAAGTTTTCAAGAAAATATTGAACTTATATTATTGAATAATACTTGCGTTATTAAATTTTAATCCAAAATAAATATATGTGCAGAACTGCATGAAAATTGCCTAAAAATAATCAAAAATAACTTCAAGATTTAGTCCTAACAAGAAACAAATAATGAAATCAAGCTAAAATTATATAAAAATGCTGTATACCAAAACGATCCTCTGCGATATGCATTGTACATTGTTCTATGTATTCTCATGATAAAAAGAAAATAAACATGAAAATTTCTTTTAACACACACACACAAAACAAAACAAAACAAAACAAAACTATATTCAGTTTTGAAACAAATTGGTGCGGAATATCATGCATTATAAACATAATTTTTATGCAAATGTTGAAGAATGTTCGCTCGTTAGAAGGGGATCAAAAGTTAATTTCATCATTGACTCAAAGCAATTAAACAAAGAGAGGAGCTAATATAAAACAATATAAAACTTTTCTGAGCAATTTACTTTAAAAATTGGCCATATAATTTTTCCTGCCTTCCATGTAATAAATTCTTCATCGTTTATTTTGCATTTTTTGTGGTTTTAGTTTGTTTAAGTCATTAAAAATTTTCAACCAGAAGATTAAGATCAGCATGAGTCTCATCTTACCTCCCGTAGATGATCACCTTATAAAGCATATCTAATGGGTATCTAATGCTAATGGTGTTGATACTTCTTGGCCGAATGATATAAAAAGAAATTTTAGACTCTTGCTTAATTAGCCAATAAGGAAGGCTGAGTTTTCTGACCTGCCTAATGGAATTTTGTCTCGGGAAGGTAATTTTTTAAATTTCTCTCAGTATACGTCTGAAATGTTTTCTTCGTTTACGCTGCTTAATTGAACAAGCAACATTTGTAGACATACTTCGAAAATCTTTTTCTAAAAATTTCGTTTTGTCACTGCTTTTTATTTATTCGTATTTAACACGTTTACGCGGGGGCCAATTTTTACGTTCTTAGGTAAGTAAAGAAAGCTAAGCCAAACTTTATACAACTTCCTTTAATTGTATTCAAACATTAACATTGATCAATGATTATGATGAAGTAACAGCTCGGAACAGAAGGAAATAGACATTCTGAATATATTTGTAAGATTCTCACTAGTGTATTCCTCAGTTACTGTAGAAAGTGACGAATCTTAAGAACTAGTTAGCGAATAATCGTTTAAGTTCGTGTAACAAGAAACAACAAGATGGAGGGGTAACTAACCCTTTATTATTCCAATAAGATTTAACAAAACTCCTTCTTGGAGTGTACAATAAAAGTTGACACTTGGGACTAAAAAATAACTTAAAACTAAGATTAAAAAATAACTTAAAACTAAACTTAAAAGACTAAAAAATAACTTAAAACTAAGATTTACTAAAGAAATATAGCCGAAGCTATCAAGATTCTAATCGAGTGTGCCCTTAACTCTATTTGACTACGAAGCTTATTAAGGGCCTAAGTACGGCCGAGCGTAATAACAGCTTTGAGAGAGAGAGAGAATAGCCAAAAGGCAAACGCTCGCAAATCAAAAAACTCTGAATCTCTCTAACTCTGCAAGTAGACTTCGCGGTTTAAATACCTTTCCTCCTCATTAAGTATTGGCCCACCAGCGGCCGAGCGGTAAAGTCGCTGAACACTGATAATTCGGTCCGAGGTTCGAATCCCACGAACGGGCTGGCTGCACGGGTGTTTTCGTGGTTTTCCCCATGTGTAACGTGTATACGAGCCAGTTTTCCTTAGAAAGTCCTCCACGAAGGCATCCCTCCCCTTAGGCAGACAGCCCTAGTGTGCTTTGCCATAATTAAATACACCACACCACAGCACCTCATTAAGTATTCAGAATGATTCCAAAACTACGTTCTGGCCGGAAGTAGTAAGTTGAAGTTAAGAATTTGGCAGGAAAGGAACTTTAACTTAAAATTTAACTGTTAATAAAATTAACATAATCCTTACATATTAATTGTTTAGAAATTAGTTTTCCCAGGAGGAAAGAATAAAGTCTTAAAATTTGTAGACTGTAAAGTTTAAAATTAGACATTCACACCAAGGCTAAATTACTCATTTTTCATAATGATGATTTTCCTGTTGAATCTCATTGAAATGATGATGAAATAATTTTGAAAATATAAGGATTAACCTATAATATTATAAAATTTCTCATCTTGGAAGTAAATGGTTTTCATTGTCATCGTCGAAGATTCATATCCACTCTTCACGGCTCATTAGACACTTCTATGAAAATTGAAGGTATTTCCGGCAGTCGTGCCTCAAGAAATGAAACAATACAGCATACTAATTGTCTAATTTTCTTTTCTAGCAAATCTTAATTTATTAATCAGGTTCAAAAAGAGATAAAGCATTGCCAAATTAATATTTTTTTTAATTTAAAAATTTTTCCATTTATGGAACTATATTCTTTTATTTCACAAATCTGTGACTCTTAGAGATATATCTGGAAAAAACATGTGTTCTGGAAAAACATTAAATATTTCTTGAACGGTTGGCCATAACTTTGTTGCTTTAGTTTAAGAAAGGAATCAAATGAGAAAGGTTCGACGAAAGTTTTCTAAGACTACCAATTTTGGTTAAGTGACATGTTTTAAAAATATATGGAATTTAAATTCATTAACGGACTTTCCACAATGTAAATTGTAGATTAATAAGCTGTGCTTTTATGAAAATTATTTTTCTGAATGGCATTTTGCTCCTACAATGTTCGAATTAAAAAATTAAATTTCAGACTTCCTTTCTTTTTTTTCTAAAAATTTGGCATTGCATCTGAAGGTCTACCTTCATTTAATTCATTGCTTAAACTTGAATCGTGAGTTCACTACAAACTGCTTGAGACTGTTAGCAATGCAATCGTTTTGAAGTACTTTGTACAAGGGCCACAATAATAAAAAGCCATGATTGTTAATGCGAAAACTTCTAATTACATTTTCAAACCAATTTTCTTTCAAAATTTATTCATATGTTCATTTTTAGCAGCCTATAAAAGAAAGATACCCATCTGGAAAACTTACGAGATTCTGAAGCGGTAACTTATTGCAGAATATATAGTCTTACAATCTAAGCAAACGAATACGTTGAAAACTTTTAATCCAGAATAATTACATTTCCTCCTGGCCAACCAGCGGCCGAGCGGTAAAGTCGCTGAACCCTGGTAGTTCGGTCCGAGTTTCGAATCCGCGAACAGGCTGGCTGCATGGGCGTTTTCCACATGTGTAAAGTGTATACGAGCCAGTTACCCTTAGAAAGTCCTCAACGAAGGCATCCCTCAAGCAGATAGCCCTAGTGTGTTTTGCCATAATTAAATAAACCAAACCAAACTACAATTTCTCCCAGTCTGAAGTTATTATTATCAAACCTATAACTTTGAAAAATAAAACTAAGCTAAAACAATTTGATTTTATATTAGTGTTGTTCATATTTGAGGATCACTTATATTTAAGGAAGTTTTTTTATGTGTGGTCCTTGGGTGAGGTTTGGAAAAAAGATTCGGAGACAAATTAATTAAAATTCAGCCTTACGCATATATTTTTCCTTTTATGTAAGTCCAAATAGTATTTACTACTATAATGAAAGTAAGAAAATTTCATTTTTCCCGTTTATCATATTTTGTACCAAAAAGTATTCCGCAGTTAAAAAGTTCTTATGCTATACGAAAAACAAAACACTTTCTCGATATAAAATTAAGCAATAAAAGTTTTCTTCTCTCCCTAAACACACAACTTTTTCTACCAGTTTAACTAAAATAAAGCAATGAAGTTAATTTTTATTTATGTAGATCTTAAAAATAAAGCTTATGTCCCACATCAAGATTTCTCAAATCAATCTTTTTTGAAAGTCGTCTCATTTCAGCTTCTCGAGAAAAAGTAGGCAAGATAAGTTCTCACCTTCAACCTTGGCCTCAAAAGTAGTCGAGTGATTAAGACCGCTGAACGCTAAAAGTTCGACCTGCTTTAGTTCGAACCCAGGAGAACGGCTTGTGTGTATGGCTGGTTTTCATCATTTCCCCTCGTGCAATGTGAATAAAAGCCAGTTTTCCCCAGAAAGTCTGAAGTAGGACTATCTGGGGTAACGTCCGCGAGAAATTTAGTTTTGTAGAGTTTCCTCACGTGTAACGTTAATACGTACAAATTTGCCTCAAAATGTCCTCCACGAAAACAATTCCCCACTTAGATAGATAGTCCTCGCGTGCTTTGCCACATTCATATAAATATAGAAAAGCCGGATATATAAAGTCGAATAACTGGAGCTCTGGTTTTGGTAACTGGAGCTTGATGAATTTTAGAAACTCACCTTTGCGGAGCATAAGAGTTTATCGTTGGCTGCTCCCAAGAAATATCCTCTGACTGCATTTCTAAGGGCCCAGCGCCCGGTTCCATCATTGGCCACAGCCACATAAAACTTAGCTCCTTCTGTTTTATCCTCACTCTCGCAAGTCACGTTGCCAAAGTGGTCGACACTCAGGTAGCGATCCAAGTGGCTTCTGAGACACACGGAATCATCGTCTCCAAACGGTTCCAGAGTCCAAAGTTGTTTCTTCTTCAGTCCAACTCCGTTTGCATTGACCTTGTAACCAAAAGTCTCAGCCGTCAGATAGCGGCACTGGGAATTCAAAAGGCCAACTGTCCAATGCTGACCCACAGGCTCGCTGTTGCCATTTGTCATGCCGTTCATATATCCGTTAGTTTCAGACATGATTGCGAGAAAGTTAGAATATTATTCCTGAAAAGAAATAAAACGGAATTAAGGCATTTCAAAATAATAAAATTTAAACAACGTAAACAGTTAGCAAATAAAGAAATCCAAAGTAAAAACTAGAACAATAAGAAGTAAAATTTATCGCCGGTTGCAGTTTCGTTGGAATTTAGTCTAGCTTTAATAAAGCATTGTTGTTACTGCTAACATCTGTAGAAGAAGCTATAGTGCTACGTGCGGAACTGGTAATATTCGAGTGAAGGTATTGATGAGAGGCTTAAGATAGATTGATCCCATTTCGAGAGGAAAAAAATAGAAGCTACGACATTTACCAACCTGTAGAGAAGGAAAATTTCAAAAGTTTCAAAGAAAGCCAAATTAAGAGACGGAAAATGATATTATTATACTCAGACTGCACAAAGTTATTCTAACGTTAACAGTAGTATACCTTAAATAAAAACTGCATATTACTCTCATACTCTCAGACTTATTATAATAATTCAGGCACAGTTCGAGGTATTGCAATTTAAGTTTCATTCACTGTACCAAAGTGAATGATGAAATAAAATTAATTATAAAATTTTTAGCTTACTCAGCGGGATCTAAAAGTCATTGCACAGTATATAAAGCATCTGAAAGGATAGCTAAATACTTTCTTCCCTTTAATGTCGAATTTAAACATTACTTGCAATTTCAAATAACGGAGAAATATAAACACTAATAGTTTTTCAAAGTAAGGTACACGATTTTACGAAAATATATTTTAAGAGGAGGCTTGAGTAATTATAAAATCAAACTTTGTATACAGCCTCCGTGAAGCAAATATCTACTTAGTTAAATTATTCTGAATGCTTCAAAAAGTTAAGGACAGCTACGTTCGACAAACATTTACGTAAAAATTTAAGTTATTTGAAAATGACCTGTTGGATTAAACTTCAACCGTCATTATTTATCGTAATTTCGCATCTTTCAACACTATTTAAATATGCATTTATTTACATAATACACATGTGACATACATACGTAACTTCTATAAATGATTTTTGAAAACGACTTTTATTTATATTTCTCTGAAAAATTAAATGACAATTAATTTAAGATTTACTAACAATAAAGATTAATTTAAATACTATCCTGTCTTCTCTTTGGATCACATTACATATATTAGCTCAGACCAGACAATTATGACAATTAAAGAACACGCAAGATAACATGTAACTGCAACTCATACCTTAAAAATGGTGCAAAAAGCTGCCTTGCTGTTCGCTGCTACATCAATCTGTGTGAGAAAAAGTTAAGTATCGTTCGTAGGCTGTATAAAGTCTTTGTTCAGTCACCTACATTTGTAACTCTCCTACGTAAATTATTCTTAAATATATGTTCAACTAACAGTATTTTGCTAAAAGCTACTTTCTAAATGTCTACAAGTTATTTTCCTGACAACAATCAGTTCATGCAATCATACACTAAAATGCAACAAACTTCTGGAAGGGAGGTTATAACTAAAAGCAGAATTTACAAAACAAAAGAAGTATCGATTACTTATAAAAAAATAGCATAGTTACAATAGTCTTCCATAAAGGAAAACATGTGCGTACGCCAGACGCTAAATTTTGTGGTAATTACATCGTTGCATTAAGCGCTTTGATATTAAGAGTTTTATATTTATATTTGAATATTTAAAGAGCAGGTGGCCTAATTATTACCTGTCCTTGACGATATAATCGACGCTTTAGTTTTGTTAATTCTCGCTTTAATTCAGACTCATTAAGTTTTGCTTTGGTTTAGTTTAGTTAATTTTGGAAAAGCATTCCATGACTATCTGCCTGAGAGAAGGGATGTCTTTGTGGGGGATTTTCTAAGAAAAGCTGGTTCGTATATATGTTACACGTGGGAAAACCGCGTAAATGCCTATGCAGTTAGCCGTACGCTGAGATTCGAACCCCGGACAGAACTACCAGTATTCAGCGACTTTACCGCTCGACAGCTGGTGGACCACCTAACTCATCAGTAGTGGTGAAGTAAAGTTTGTTAAACTGTAAGTTGACTACAAGTAAGGGCAGTAATTCGCAGGCATTTTTAGAAAGTAACTATTAGTGAAGTATCATTAATTGAACCGATTTTTAAAAATAAATTAGAAGTTAAACTTTTTATTGTAAATAGATCTGATGTTATGCAGATCGACATTCCTTTTAAAATTCTGAGAGTGCAGGTGGATAGTCCGCAGCAAATAAGAAGAGAAATTACATTAGCGTCATTTCAGGATTATATAAGAAATATTCAAGAGAAAAAAGTATTTAAGGAGCATCCGAATGATATCAGAAGAAAATAGCGGTATAAACAGTAAAGTCCGAGACCTCATTAAATACGTACGATTTTATCATCTATTTAATATCCGATATCGACGAATGTTTTTACGGTATAATCTACAGCTGACTAGAAGATACATCATTATTAATGTTATACGCTTTCGCCTTATTTATAAATAATTCAAAGAGCATTCGAATAATATTAGAATACACATAAATATAAATGTCCCAAATAGCGTCACATACACGTGATTTTAATATCCGCATGATATCCGAAACCATACTATATCGAGCAGAGTTTTAAACGGAAAATACTGCACCAGAATTGCTTCAGTCTCTTCTTTATTTGGAGATATTTTGGGTCAGGAACATCTGTTGATTTTATCGACTACTTAAATGTTACTGAACCGCAACCGATTGCTTAACACTAACGGATACGGGTCGAATGCTTCAAGTTTACTCGATTTTAAAGCTTTGAACTTCATTATAAATCAACATTTTACGTTTTAGTGTAAGAAATGCCAATTACGTACAATGCCTGTAGAAATTATATTAACATTCGTGAGGTGAAGCTAAAAATAGTTCGCTCTTTTTGTTTTTTTAACAGTTACAAGAAGTGTAAATTCGTAAGTTTCATAATAAACTCATAGAATCATTTAAAGGTCATTAACACGACAATAATCTGGACCAATGCAACACAAAAGTCATGATTAAATGTTTGGAGAATTTTTAGAACAGGATACATACGAATAATAAAGCAAACAGATATTTCATAACCGGCAAACACAAAACACAATGTAAGAAGTTTTTTTTTTTTTTTTTTTTACCTTTACGGTTTTGATGTTAGTGTTCCTAAAAATCAGTCAAATACTTTATATAAGGCTATATTTAATATTTGTGTAACACTATAGTCAATATTTGTGTAAAAGTTTATGAAGCATATTGTTTTAAATAGTTCTTTTTTATTCCAGATTTACCAGTATAATGTGAAAGAAAAATAAAATAAATAAAATAGATCTTTTTAAATCTCTAAGTTACTTACAGCGATAAACAATGCCTTGCTGTAACTGAATATACAAATTTAAGATATAATGATAGGAGAATTGCAACAGATTTCAAAATTCTCAATTGGCCATGCGGAGTAACTGATTAATGGTATGGTAACATAATGGAACAAAATGACAATAGACTGTGAATTTTTCTTATCACAAAAGGTGATTCTATTACCTATTCAAAGAAGAGTGTTATAATATACGCTAACTGAAAGCAATGCCCTTGGAAAATAAAATTTTTATATCAGAAGTGCTGTTTTACATATGCTATTTGAAATGTCTTTTTTAGTAATAGTAGTAGTATAAAAGTTAATTATATTTATTGAGAATAAGTGTATTGTATAAAGTCCTCTATGGGACATCCCTCCCCTGCTGTGTAGCACGTAATAAATAAATAAATAAGTAAGTACAATGCTTTTAGCACATTAAGTTATCTCCACTGATATGGCCCAACAGTGTCCGAGTGGCTAAGAAAGCCGAATGCTAGTAGTTCGACCTGGGCTGTGGGCAAACTCAGGCAAACGGGCTGGCTACATGATTGGTTTTCGCAATTTTTCCCCCTTTTAACGTCAAGTTTCCTTCAGAAAGTACTCCACGAATCTATCCCTCCTCTTAGGCAGATATCTCTGGTAGCTTTGACATTTTCAAATAACCTAATCTAATCTAACTTACTATATTGACAAAAAATGAAAACCAAAATAAAAAGAAAAATTTTACAACAAAAAAATTTCAAAAAAGAACAATACCCTCATTGTAATTCGAGCCACTGATTTTCCATTTGCTAGCTGGATGTGTTACCATTTACAACACGACAGCACACCCAAGGGAATGCTATAATGTCTTATCAAGGGGGAAAGAAGAAAGGCACGAGACCCAGTCAATCAGATGCAGTTGGCGAAGAATCATCGTTTAATATATTTTTAGTTCGGGCGCCATTTAAGAAACATTTTGGGCCAGGAAGTATGAGAAATCAATTGTCTCTTCTTCGGACTTAACCGCAAATCGTCTAGTTGCTAGTTGGGCATGCTACCATTTACACAAGGAAAGCAAACACGAGAGAATGCAATTATTACATATAAGTTACGCAATAAATCAGGCTAATAATACATGATTGAATACTACTAAGCTTCAGGGAATTAAAAAATCGAAGTACATTCTAAAATATTTAAATATATAAAGAGATGATAAAATTCGAGCCCATAACAAGATTTTTAAATATAGTATAAATGAATGATAAAATTTAAGTGCGCGCAGTTTTGAAAAATCAGTTGAGTTGACCCATTGTTTCAGAAATGATATTTAAATAAGTTTCAACTTATTTGAGACAAAATTTTGAACTAAGTATTTGCAAATTGTTTAAAATGCCTTGGCAGTTGTTTTATCTCATCAAATGGGTTTGAAAAATCTTATCCTCATTTCCGATCTGTTTAAATTTCAAACACAGTTCTAATTTACTGGATTCAAATATGCATCCTGTTCAGAAAACTGAGTTCATAAACTGAAAAGTTCTTGACTCAATCCAGAAATGAAGTTTACTGATAATCTTTACGCAAATCTGAATTAAACTGAATCTTTCAACGCTTTTGATTTTTGATGTTTATCTTTCGCTGTTTGGTTATATAACGGTAAAGCATCAATGACGGTAAAATGTACAATGCTTTTCATA